GTCATTCGATGTTTCATCGACTGCATGATCTAGTTAACCATATTATATTGAATTATGTCAATTACCAGATTATATTCATTATTTTAACGCTACTGAACTAGAATAGACTCTTATCAAATATAACATTTGATAAAAGAATCCAAAAGTCACAAGGTGAGTCAGATAATGTGTCTGATAAAGCATCGCATGATCTATTAAAAAATGTTACTCAAGATTGTATGAAAAAATTTCCAAGAATTTTGTCATAGTTGGTTAGAAAACTACGGTTGTTCTTTGTCGAAATTTAAACGTTTAAATAACAATCAGTACCAAATGTACTGAATGTTGTTTCGAAAGTTCATCATCATAAAATGAGTCTAGTACAAGTGAAGTGTTGATTTTGTATTAAGAAAATCCACTTATATAAAAGAATTGAAAACAATTAATTGTTTGCTTCAATATGAGTCGATTCATATAATTAATATCGATGAGACGTCGTTTAAATTTCCCTGATTATCTCAACAAAATTAATATTAAAACGTTGAATAGACTAATGATTCTGAACAAATTTCTTTTCGTACACAATGAAAAGCTTAAATAATTCAATAGAATTATTTTAAAAAGAAATCTTCAAGACAAATGTTAGGGACATGTTATTGACTTTATCATAATTATAAATTCATATTGTCTAAGAAATTCTTTGTTTTTTTTGTAGACTCTATTGGACTCATAGTTTTATCATTCTTATCTAGTTTGACAAAATGTGAGTAATCATAAGACTATTAATTTCTCAACAATTTAACCGTTGTTTATCTTTATCTTTATAGAAAAATATAATAATTGATATTTTTTATCAGTATTCTCATGATATAGATAGAAAATTAAAATCTAAGGTGTTTTATTTTTATTTGTTTCTAAGATAATATAATGTTGTGCGAAATAAGTTCATGGTCTGGTAATAATTTCTTCCTTACATGGATGATACTTAGTTTAATTGCATTTGTTGTACTTATTGTATTTTCAACATTAATTTTTTATCATTATTATGTAAATATAACTTTCGAAAAATGGTTACAAAAATCGTATCCAAAGTATCCATCAGCAAATTATGTTCGTACTGAAATTATATTAATGTTAAAAGGTCTTTTATCAGCAACCTTATGTCCTGCATTAGCATTATATTTAATGGGTCGAGAAAAATTACAAGGTTATTGTGGTGTAGGTGAATATGGTTGGGGATATTTAGTTATTAGTTTTTTTATTATTTGGTTGTCAACAGATTTTTTTGAATTTCTTTATCATCGAATGGGACATACGATTGATGCTTTTTGGAATATACATAAGTCTCATCATCAATTTTATAATCCTACACCATTTGCTGTTATAGCTGATGAATATTTAGATCAATTTGTACGTGCATTACCATTAATAATCTTACCTACTTTAATACCAGTTAATATGGATTTATTATTTTTTCAAGTAAGATATACTTTAAAAAATACAAAACAAAACTTCATATGATATATTTATATTCTAGTTTGCAACTTTTTTCTATGGTTATGGTATTTATCTTCATTGGGGTCATGAATTCTCGTATCCCGATGCACATCATCCTATAATTAATACATCTTTTCAACATTATTTGCATCATGCTGTTTCAATTAAAAATCAACCTTATCATACAGGATTTTATTTTAAAATTTGGGATCAATTATTTGGTAGTATTTATCCAAGAGAAAATTGCTTTTGTATTAAATGTCAAAAAGAAAAAGGACAACGTACACGTGAAGAATTTGAAAAAATAGAAAAACCAGATTATAGTGTCTTGTTAAATTGGAATTTTTGGTTTGAAAATAAACTTGCTTAAAAAGTTTTTGATTTCATATTTATTTTTTCAATAAAAAGTCACAGAAAGAAATAACTTAATCAACAACTTTCAATAATGAATGACATCAATATCTATCGGAAAGTAAATAGTAACTAGCCTATATGTCATATTCGTAATATAAATAGACATTTCCTCTACTATATATATAAAATAAAATGTTAAAATCATTTAGTTTACGATTTTGTGCCAGCAAATAAAAAAGAGTTAAAGGCAAAAGTATATTAACTTTATTGATAGACAGCCTTTCAATTGGCAAATTTGAGTCGTTGTCTATTTACCATCATATAATAAGACTGAATATATTACTAAATTTAGTAAAATAGAACAAATATACTAATTATGTAAAAAGGAAGTAAGAACAACATTGACATAAAAGCACCAGTCGCCGCCAATTATTGATAGAATATTTCAAAGTCTTTAGATGTTATTATTTTCATTTCAGTTGTTAGTATAGCTGATGGTTGGATCGATAAAAGTTGTGATAGAATATAAAAAGGAAAACCTAGTTAAAATATAATATACTTAGAATATACCTGAAGTAGTAGTCTCAGAATTGTATTACATCGCAGAAAGTATAAGGAAAATTTCTTTCCATGTGTACTTGTCATGTCAGAAGTGCTCTATATCTTCAATATATAGTCATCTTCCAATTATTATCATCATATGAAAATTTTGCCTGACAGCTATGCATCCATATTTTAGATGAATAAAGAAAATCTTCGTTTCTGCATTAAAGTGCGTACTGCGCTTCATATAGAACCTAAAGTGATTCACGACGATGTATATTCTGTTTTCAGACATCAAGCAACATCTCATAGTACAGTGATAAAGTGATCAAAAGAGTTTAAT